CATTGATGTTTGACAAAGTTCCAGAGTTTCAGCACTGCACACCACACTTCTTCAGCACCTTTTTTACTTTCATTTTTAATGATCCTCAAAATTAATGCTTTTCCCTCTGGGAAATTTTGTGTGGCTTTGGTAAAATGATAAAAAATATATACAATGGGGCCAGGCAGTGGTGGCACACACCTTTAATCCCAGCACTTGGGAGGCAGAGGCAGGCAGATCTCTGTGAGTTTGAGACCAGCCTGGTCTATAGAGCTAGTTCCAGGACAGGCTCCAAAGCCACAGAGAAACCCTGTCTTGAAAAACAAAACAAAACAAACACCTACTTCCAGGACAGCTAGGACTATTACACAGAGAACACAGAGAATCCCTGTCTCAAAAACCAATATACATACATATACATATATGTATGGACAATGCTAGACTTTTTTTTTGGAAAAAATCCCCACCACCACGGAACCAGGAATTTCACTGTGCCCTCCTAATTACACCAAGAACAAGAATGTTAAAGGTTTACTAGACACTCCTGATCCCAAGGATGAAATGCCTACAGTTCAGATCCAGAGCCTGAGGCCATTAAGGGCAAGATTTCAGTTTTAAATACAGAGAAATCAGAATTATATGGTATAATGGGAAAAGAGTAAGACACCAGGACCTTCCCTTCTGGAGTGTTATGAGGGGAACAGGTCCATATAGTATGACTAAGAAAATGTGGTATAAGTGTCTGCTCCCCGGAAGTCCTTTTCCTAAGGTCAGCCATTTTGGTAAGGGTCTCCATTCCCTTGGAGGCTTGAGGAAATTCCCTGCTTGAAAATGTAGTCATTCTTCTTTGTAGGCCCGTATTTCTATATGGTATGACAGCCAGGCTCTAAAGCCATAGGCCCCACCTGATGGGTCACATATCCTGCCAGGCAGGCTGTGGCTAACCTAACAAAAGGTCAGGATTTTGCTCCTTCCTTTGTAATTTGGAGGATGCCTTATAGAGATGCTGATTCAAGCCTATGTGACAGCTAGCATACACAGCAGACAGGTAGATGCAGACATGAGGAAAGGCCATTCACCTGGTTACCTAGGAAACAAAATGCTAATGTATTTTCCCCCTTGGTAAAGTTTTGGTATAAAGACTGTTTGGAGAATGAACTCAGGACTTCATGAGGGACCACTAAAAATCTCCCTCCCAATGAAACCATGTGAGTTATGTCTTTATTCCCGCGCCTCCACGCTGCAGGTGCAGAGAGATTGTTTATGTTGGGGTCTAGTTGAGAAAAATAATTAATAATTGAGCATCTGGGCTAGCACCGGACTCCCACACTTCTTTGTTGTTGTTGGTTTTTTTTGTTGTTGTTGTCATCGTTTGTTTTTTGAGACAGGGTTTCTCTGTAGCTTTGGAACCTGTCCTGGAACTAGCTCTTGTAGACCAGGCTGGCCTCGAACTCACAGAGATCCGCCTGCCTCTGCCTCCCGAATGCTGGGATTAAAGGCGTGCGCCACCACCGCCCAGCCTGGAACTCACTCTGTAGACCGTGTTGGCCTCGAACTCCCATCTGCCTCTGCTTCCTGAGTGCTGGGATTATACCACCACCCAGCTGATTTGGGCTCATTAAGATTTGTTTTTATCAAAAGAAAAAAGAAAAAAAAAAGCCAGATGTTGGTGGCACAGTCCTTTAATCCCAGCACTCAGGAGACAGAAGCAGGCAGATCCCAGAGTTCAGGACCAACCTGATCTACCAAGAAAGCTCCTGGAAAGCCAGGGCTACACAGAGAAACCCAACCTCAAAAAAAATTTTTTTTTATGTGTGTGTGGGTTGTGGACATATGTGCAGATTCCCATGACAGCTAGAAGATGGGTTCAGATCCTGCCACTTGGCATGGGTGTTAGCAGTAGAACTTGCGTTCTCTGCCATATCTCCTGCCACTTTTTTTTTTTTTTTTTTTTTTTTTTTTGGTTTTGCGNTTGGTTTTGCGAGACAGGGTTTCTCTGTGGTTTTGGAGCCTGTCCTGGAACTAGCTCTTGTAGATCAGGCTGGTCTCAAACTCACAGAGATCCGCCTGCCTCTGCCTCCCGAGTGCTGGGATTAAAGATGTGTGCCACCACCTCCTGGCCCACTTTTTTTTTTTTAAATTTTACATTCATGAGTGTTTTCTTGCATGTGTGTACATACATCTTATCCATTCCTGGTGTCAAAGGTCAGGAGATACCAGATTCTCTGGAACTGGTACAGACATCCGTGAGCTGAAAACCTCACAGGAAACAGAAGTACCAAGTGCTCTTAATTGTTCAGGCATCTCACCAGGTTTGTTTTTTTTTTGGGGGGGGGGGCATGTTCTTACTCTGTAACCAAGATTCTCAACTGGAAATCTGCCTGTCTCAGCCTCCTGAGAGCTGGTACTACTGACATCAGCCACCAAGCCAGGCTTGGATTTGTTTTTGAGACAGGCTCTCAGTATGTAGTCCTATTTGGAATTGGCGATGTAGACCAGGTTGGTCTCAAATTTAGAGCTCTGTCTCTGCTTTACTGAGTGCTGAGTGCCTGGTATCAGGGTTTTGGAGAGGGTTTCCCTCTGTAGTTCAGGCTGATATCCTCTTGGGTCAGCCTGAGAATTTGAGGGTGGACCACACTACACCTTAGAGGTAGTCACTGTTATGAGAATGAAGGCTTTGAGGATGAGAATGTTGGACATGATGGATGTCCAACACTTTGATTCTACCCAGTGCCACTGCCTACCTTAAAACAATCAATAGGCCAAAATGCGGTAACGTGAATTTTAATTCAACGTGCAGGGAGTAAACTGTACTAAGTACCCACTTTGTCACCCAGCTGCAAACCCGAATCTATGAGCCACTTTTTAAAAAATATTTTTATGGATTATTTAACTTTATTTTATGTGCATTGGTATGAAGGTGTCAGATCCCCTGCAACTGTAACTTCAGACAGTTGTGAGCTGCCATATGGGTGCTGGGGATTGAACCTGGGTCCTCTAGAAAGAGCAGTCAGTGCTCTTAACCACTGAGCCATCTCTCCAGCCCCACGAGCCACTCTTTCAACAGTGCCAAATGGCTGAATAAGAAACTGTGAGGGTGGATTTCCTTTACTGTATATACCCAAAGTGTTTTTTTTTTAAATATTTATTTATTTATTTATTATGTATACAATATTCTGTCTGTATGCCTGAAGGCCAGAAGAGGGCGCCAGACATCTTTACAGATGGTTGTGAGCCACCATGTGGTTGCTGGGAATTGAACTCAGGACCTTTGGAAGAGCAGGCAATGCTCTTAACCACTGAGCCATCTCTCCAGCCCCCCAAAGTGATTTTGACTTTTATTATTTTTTAAAACAATCTCACATAGCTCAGGTTGGCCTTGGAACTCTTATGAACCTGGGGCTGGTATTAGGCATGCCCACACTTTGCTAACAAGCAATGTTGTGACAGAGGAAGGAAGTATATGTAAGTCTGAGGGCTGAAAAACCAATTACCCTTGTAGGCCAAGTTGCTGGGCAATCTATCTACCTACCTACCTACCTACCTACCTACCTACCTGTCTATCTATAGACAGGGTTTCTCCACATTAACGGCCCTGATTGTCCTCAAACTCATTTTGTAGGCCAGATTGGATTTAAAGAGAAAACCACCCGCCTCTGCCTCCAGAGTGCTGGGAATTAAAGGTGTGCTTTTGAATTTTGAGATAGGGTCTTCCTAAATACACCAGGCAAACCTTGAACTCAGAAGCGTTTTGCATTAACCTCTCTGAAGTAGCTGGAGTTACAAGTCAGATTAATACCTGTTTAGAGTTGGACAAAGTAGTCCACATCCTTAATCCCAGGCTTGGGAGACAGAGTTAGGCAGATCTCTGAGTTCAAGGCCAGCTGAAGTTACAGTGAGACACAAAACGACAAAATAAAACATTTTTAAGTAACAAAGGTGCCCTGTGTACACACGTTTATGGTTATTGCTATCCTTAACACTCATCAGTTCACACACAACAAATCAAGTTTCTTGGTTGCATGTAGGAGTAATACTAACTCCTCACCCTTAATGAAGGAGGCAGCTTAGCTTATCCTGTGAACCCCATGGTAAGGTACTCCATTTTTAAAAATAACTTTTTATGAGAACCAATTGTTTTGCTTGCATGTATGCCTGTGCGAGGAAGTCAGATTCCCTGAAACTTGAGTTACAGTTGAGAGCAGCCATGTGTGTGCTGGGACTTGAACCCAGGTCCTCTGGAAGAACAGTCAGTGCTCTTAACCACTGAGCCATCTCTCCAGCCCCAATAGCAATGTTCTCAACTGCTGAGACATCTCTCTACCACTAATTTTATTTTTAGATTTTTGAGACTTGGCCATCCTAGAACTCACTTTAGGTACCAGACTGATCTCAAACTCACAGCCTGTCTCCCAAGTGCTGGGATTAAAGGTGTGTGCCCCCCCCCCCCCGTTTTTCAACCCAAATAATTATTCATCTTGGAGAATGAACTTACTTATTTCCATACACAAAAGTATGAAGCATCCCATGTAGTTTGACAGAGTGCAGAAATACACACTGAAAATCACCTTTCTCAATGGCAGGCCTACTTAAACAGGTGGGTCTCTAGAGTTTGAGGCCAGCCTGGTTTATAGAGACCAACTTTTATTCGATGATCCCAATATTCTGGAGGCTGAGGCGGCAGGAGAGGTGCATAGAGACACTGTGTCAAAAACAAAGCTGGAGAGACGTCTCATCAGCTGTGGAGTTGGATCGCCAGGCTCACCTGCGGTGGGAGTCTCCCGCAAGCAGTCCTCTGCAGTCCGTTCATGTGCACTCATTAAATAAGTAAATGTAAAGAAAATAAATGCCGCTCGCCATGAGGCCCTTGGTTCCATTCCCAGAACACTCTTCAGACCACACCTGAGCAGCAATGAACAGAAATGTTTCAGTAGCATTGCTTTATTGCTTAAGTTTTGACATTGATATTCCCATCGAAGTTCATCTCATATCCCAGTAATGCTCCTTGACAGAAGTGCTGATAGAATTCTACAGTATTTTATTGCCTCTTTTATAATTAATAATCACCACTGGCTGATGTTTCCAAGATGTGAGCTGTATACCGTCCAAGGATGGAAACAACATTGTAATTTCAAAAGGAAAAAAAAATCATTCTGATCCTAAAAAACTTGGTACATGCTACCTTAAACATACTTCCTTTTTCAGATTCAGAACTACCAAACTATTGCTTGGAACGGGAAATATCTTCATTAACTGTATGAGCTTTTTACAGATAGAGCCCATCTATGGGAATTTATATGTGTTTTCCATCAATGGACTAATTTCATGCTTTCTTCCTAAAAACTTGTATGTGGGAATAATGGAATTAAGAGACAACAAAACTAACATCCTGCATTAATGGTGAGATGGAACACAAAGAGGTAAAACATGAGCCAGGCAGTGGTGGCGCATGCTTTTAATCCTAGCACTCGGGAGGCAGAGGCAACAGGTGGCCTGTGAGTTCAAGGCCAGCCTGGTCTACAAGAGTTCCAGGACAGGCTCTAAGGCTACAGAGAAACCCTGTCTCGACCCCCCCCCCCCCAAAGGGCTCAACATGAAACTGATCAGCAAGCACAACCTATGGAAAGCTCCAGGGGCTTTCTCAGACCTCATGCACAGGCCAAGGCCAATGCTGTGATTATGACAGAGAGGGAACATAGAATACAGCACATTATAATAACCAAAATCCAGCTGGTCATGGCTGTATACACACGGTCCCAGTATTCCAGGGCTGAGACAGGAGGATTGAGTTCTGAGGTCAGTGTGGGCCAAGCAATATGCTATCTCAATGCCAAAGTTAAAGTAACCAATCGAATTAAAAAAAAAAATGTCGCCAAGCAATAGCGGTGCACACCTTTAATCCCAGCACGCAGGAGGCAGACAGGTGGATCTCTGAGTTCCAGCCTGGTCTACAGTGTCTTGAAAAGCTCTCACCCACATGGATGTTCGAACCATTATGTTCCACATACCATGAAGGTAAATAAGGGAATCCCCCTAAATAATTAAAAAAAAAAAAAAACAAAAAAAAAAACAAAAAAAACTTGAGCAAGTTATATTCCTATCATCAAGCTGTTTCCCAAGCAAAAGACAAACCCCACAAAACAAACCCCACATTCTGTCAGTTGCTGTATTTACCAAGCATCAGGAAGATCTACTTTATTAGTCTAACTGCAGTGCAGACAGCCAAAGGCCACTTGGGAAATGTTTACCTCTTTTTGTATTCTAACAGAGGTGGGAAGCCATCCACTGTACAGCATCAGCCCTTGAGGTACATTGGAAGGAAATGGCTGAGTCTTTCCACCAAGTAACACACACCCTAGTACTGCTTATAAATCAAAGAGAAAACAAAACACATCCCTTTGAACAGAGAGAAAGAGGTCATTCCGTGGGGGTATCTTTAGAGTCTGCATCAGTTTGCTCCATTTCATCGTCCATGATTCCTGGGATAGCTGTAACAGGTATGGTGCTCTCTGTTGCAGCTATGAATGCTTCATTTCTGGCCTCAGTGGCCTCGCTTCTAGCTTTGTCTTCGGTGTTCCTATTTTCAGACGCTGTTTCACAGGTCTGCTCTCCCAGCGACTTTTCAGTGTGGGGGTCACCACTGGTCTCTGTTGTGTCCACAGGGCCTTCCTTTTCAGCTAGAACTTCATTACGCTCTACAGCTGGCTCTCCTTCCCCCTCTACAGCTCTCACGGCTGCTGTAATCACCTCTGCTAAGACTTCTGCAGCTACTTCCTCTGGAGTCTCTTCCTTCCCTCCAACATTGTCATCTCCTTCTGTCTCAAGATCAACTGTTTCATTGGCAAAAGGATCCTCACCCTGAACAAAGAGGAAACACAAATCAGTGCTAGAGCCAGAGGCCCAGTTTGTGAGGAGCTGTGGTTTTGAGGAAGTCTGCAAAGCAGCATACTGCAGCTTTCAGCTGATTACTTTTATTTATCGAGAACTTCACACACACAGAAGTACTGTACTCATACCATTTCCCCTCTCCTTGTTCCAACTCTTCCCATGTTTCCCTCTGTCCTCAAATTCATGGCCCCTTATTTGTTAATCATCATGCACATTTTGGGAAGGGAGTGTCAGGGATGAAAACCTAGTTATCACATATGCTAATAAACAAGTACTCCACCACTAGTGCCACCCAGAGACCCTATCTACAGTTTTAGCCTGGTGTTACAGCCCTGGCTGGCCTCAAATTTAGTAATCCTCTTGCATCTGGCTCCCAAGGGCCAGTACTTTAGGTACGTGCCACCACATTTTTAAGCACTTTTAACTTTTTGTAGTTTACTTCATTGTTTTGTTATGAGACCAGGCCTTCCTTGGCTCCAGGGTAGCAGGGACGACAGGCTACTAAGCAGCACCACATCCCCATTCACAGACCGGCAAGTCTCTAGAAACCCCAATGTCACAGATCCAGCCTTCCTGGTATTTTTCTTTTCTTTTTTTTTCTTGGTTTTTCAAGATAAGGATTCTCTGTAACTTTGGTGTCTGTCCTGGAACTTGCTCAATAGACCAGGCTGGTCTCGAACTCACAGAGATACACCTTTTGTCTCTGTGTCCTGAGTGCTGGAATTAAAGGCGTGCACCACCACCACCCGGACAGCCCTCTGTGTTTTAATGTCTTTCAATTTTTTTTTTTCCAAAATTCAGAAATGCTAGCCAGGTATGGTGACATGTGCCTGGTCTACAGAGGTAGGTCTAGGACAGCCAAGGCTGTTACATAGAGAAATCCTGTCCTGAAGGAAACAAAACAAAACCCAAAAACTCAAATAAACATATAAACAAACAAGTAAATAGTAAAAATTCAGAAATAAATGCTGGTCACTGTACTCTGGCTACATTCCATATAAATCTCCCACCACCCCCTCCAAGGCTTTTTTGGCTCACTAGAGTCACAAATACAAACCTTGAGGTATTTTTCCAGCATCTTCACTATATGTTTATTGTTCAAAACACTCTTAGCCACATGGAGACTTGTTTTCTTGAACTGCTCAGCAGCCAACTGCAAAAGGCAACCAAAAGTAGGCTTTGTAAAATAGCCCAGAGAAACCAAAAACTAGCTAGTATATGTGATGGCTACTTTAACCGTCTCCTTGACACAACCCAACCACCTGGAAGAAAGTCTCAAAGCTGTACTGAGTCAGGGGGTGGCACCAACTCCTGGACTGCGTATATAAGAGGAGAGAGAACCAGCTGATCACTAAGCACGCACACATCCATTCTCTCTAATCTAAAGTGACAGCTGCTGCAGGCTCCACCTGGACTTCCTCGAAACGATGTACTACAACCTGGAATTGTAACCCTTTCTTCACTAAGTTGCTTATGGCCAGGGTATTTCCCACAAGAACATCAAGCTACTCAGCCATAACATATATACAGAGGACCCAGCTCAGATCCACTGAAGGTTCTCTGATCTCTGAGAGCCCCCATTGAGTCCCGGTGGTCCATTGATTCTGTGGGCTGTGTTCTCAGGGGGTCCCTGGTTGGGGGTATTTTATCACAATTAAGAAATGAAACTAGGGGGCTGGAGAGATGGCTCAGCGGTTAAGAGCATTGCCTGCTCTTCCAAAGGTCCTGGGTTCAATTCCCAGCAACCACATGGTGGCTCACAACCATCTGTAATGAGGTCTGGTGCCCNGCACGGCAACTGATCTGTTCATCCAACGGACAGAAGACTGAAGACTGAATGACCAGAGCCCACTGTCTAGACAAGAAATCATGAAAGGAAAGAGATCAGCTTTATGGAAGCTGCGGGAGTGGCAGAGGGTCACCTAACTATCGGTTCACGAGGATCTCTCTCAACTCAACATCCTCCTCTATAGGATGGAACTAAGAACCGCTGCTGCCTTGCCGAGCGAGTTTAAAGGCTAAATGTCACGTGGTATGGAGAGGTCACAGCAGTGTCCCTGGCATAGAGGCAGAATGTGAACTCTTAGTAGGACCGAACCTTCTGATCCTGGGAACTAAACATCTTCTCCTCTCTTCTTTCTTCCTTCCTTCCTTCCTTCCTTCCTTCCTTCCTTCCTTCCTTCCTTCCTTCCTTCCTTCCTTCCTTCCTTCCTTCCTTTCTTTCTTTTTTGAGACAGGGTTTCTCTGTAGCTTTGGAGCCTGTCCTGGAACTAGCTCATGTAGACCAGGCTGGCCTCAAACTCACAGAGATCCGCCTGCCTCTGCCTCCGGAGCCCTGGGATTAAAGGCGTGGGCCACCACCGCCCAGCCCTGGTACTCCATCTTGACTGACAAGCTAACCTAATGGTCAGCAATGTAGCCATACCCATTCTATCAACTGTGGTTGTTCTGCCTATCTAAAGCAGTTGTGCTGCACTGCACAGACCTCTGGACCCAGAGCATCCTTAACTGCAGGGAACTGATTTCATGGCCCCTTCAGGTAACAAACTAAAAGGACATCCAAATGTCCTATAAAATGGTCTTGGTGTTTGTACAGATCTATGCATATTCTCCCTGTATTTTAAGCCTAACTTATAAGCCTAACATAACAAAGGCTGTGCTATCAGCTATGGTAAGGTATTGGCTGGGGAACATTAAAGAATTGCAGTGTGTTCAGTATAGTTGCAATTCCTCTATCAAATGTTTTCAATCCTCCGTTAGTTCAATCTGTGACTGTGGAATTCAGAGATGAAGGTAAACTGTATTTACAATCAGACATTTTATGAAAGAAACAACAGCAACAACAAAACCTTGCTAACCCCTGGTTTAAACCTTGCCTTTAGACTCAGCTTCATCATGAAGGAAAAACCAAACCAGTACCAAAACCCAGGTTGGTCCCCCAGGCCACTTAGTTCTGAATGGCCCTTGGCCTCACCTTACAGAAACTCAGTTTCAATTCAGAATTTCAGCTACTATATACAGCCAATCCAGTCACCAAATTTCTACCCCCCACCCCACCTCGAAATAAGGCAAAGATGGATGTGGAGATATACACTGTTAATTCCTGGGAGGCAGAGGCACGTGGGTTTTTGAGTTCCAGGTCAGATGGCGGCTACCCCGTGAGAACCTGTCTGAAACGAGAGAACGAGATAGAGAGAGAGGGAGAGAGAGACCGAACAAGAGAGAATAACAGCCTGCTTCTCAACTCAGCCTCCTCCACATAGGTGGAGTAGCAGTTACATTTCAACTTGCATTTTAATAGAATTGGGAGTGATGGATACAGTAAGACAAGCTCACTGAGCACCTGCTAGTAACTCAAGCACTCCTGGGACAACATCAATAGTTGGTCACTCCAGGAGCCAGTCTGAATCAAAACAAGACTTACCCTTCGGTTATGGTTATGGTCCACAGAGTGCAGATGCCGCTGGAGGAGCTGGTGCTGTGCAGGAATCAGCATGTCACAGGCCATGCAGTGTGCGGCTTCAATCTTCTTGAAGAAATGCTCCTGGCCAATCCCTGGAATCGAACCCATATAAGCAGTTCTTTTCCTCCTCCCCAGCAAGGTCATCATGAGGACAGAAGGTGAGAGGTTGGAACCCACTCTCCTAGCTATCCCTGCAGGAGACCTGCCCCACTGTGAGGTGCTATGCCCACACCTCATCCTTCCAGCTCTGTCGACGGGTTGTTTCACATCGCTCTGATGAGATGCTATGCAGCTTTGTTCTCGTTTCACTGCACCCAGGGCTTCTTTCCACCCCGTGCTTTCCCCACAGGACTTGGCTTCACATTCTTGGTAGCCCTAGGCTGGCACTGCACTGTATTTTTTTTAATTTTTTAAGACTTGCATTTTGCTCGCACATATGTCTGTTCACCACATGTGTGCTTGGTGCCCAAGGAGGCCAGGAGAACTGGAATTGACAGCTGTAAATTGCCATGTTGGTCCTGGGCATCAAATCCAGGACCTCTAGGAGATCAGCCAGTGCTCTGAATGCCAAGGCATTTCTTCAGCTCCTAGACTTTTTTTTTTTTTTTTTTTTAAATTTTCAAGACAGGGTTTCTCTGTAGTTTTTGGAGCCTGTCCTGGAACTAGCTCTTATAGACCAGGCTGGCCTCGAACTCATAGAGATCCTCCTGCCTCTGCCTCCCGAGTGCTGGGATTAAAGGCATGCGCCACCACCGCCCGGCTTGGACTGGTTTTTTATGGTGTAGGGATTAAATAATTCCAGGCCTCATGCACGCTAGTTAAGTACTGCAACACAGAAGAGTTGTTCAAGCATCTGTACCGTCTATTTTTCTTTTTTTTTTTAAATATTTATTTATTCATTTATTTATTATGTATACAATATTCTATCTGTGTACATGCCTGAAGGCCAGAAGAGGGCACCAGACCTCATTACAGATGGTTGTGAGCCACCATGTGGTTGCTGGGAATTGAACTCAGGACCTTTGGAAGAGCAGGCAATGCTCTTAACCTCTGAGCCATCTCTCCAGCCCCGTCTATTTTTCTTCCTCCTCAATCTATTTATTTTATGTGTACAGGCATTCTGTCTATATGCTTGTCTATGTATAGAAGCCAAAAGAGGACACTGGATCTCAGACAGTTGTGAATCAACCCGACTGGAATCAAACCCGAGTCCTCTAAAAAAAGCATCCAGAATAACCTGGACACTGGGATCACAACTGACCTTTAAATGGATCTGGTTTGGGTTTTGGGCTTTCCTTCTCCAACAATTCCTGGCGCCGTTTCTCAATTTTCTTATTCCTGTTTATGATGTACTCCTGGAAGGATGGAAAGATGCCACCAAATGAAATGGAGAACACACTATCTGGACATTTTTCAACTACTCAAAAGGGTGAGAAGATTCTAGTGTGGCAGCTCCAAGATCAAAACTCGCCGTGGTTAGAACTATTATCACTCTGTGACACAGGAACACATACAATAGTTTCCATTTGGGGAAAGAAACTGGATTATGTTTAGGCCTCTCATTCCCTGTAATCCTCTGCAGGCTCTAATGCTGGCAGGGCTTTCCATGAAGACTTTACCTGGAGGAACTCCACTGTCTTGTCGGGCAATTTGGTACTTATAAATCGCAATGTCTCTTTATGAAATTTGCTTTGCAGATGCTTTTGGATTTCTTCATCTTCAAAGCTACGAAACTTGCATACAGAACAGGCAAACTGAATCCTAGAAAGGCAACACAGAAAGGAATCACTAGTTCTTCTCTGAGTACAGAATGCATTCAGGAAACAGGATTCTTGTCCTTAAGGGAGTTCAAAGAGAGCGCCTCCCAGTCTCTCTTAGGTGTTGAGCAATGAACCCAGCAAGGAGACAGGAATTACTGTAGGTCCTGTCTGAAGAGTGTACAGCCTCTCAAATATTTTCTGAAAACTATTCCATCAGTAGCATACCAGCTGTTCCGGGCCAAAAAGAACTCTCTAAAGTGATGAAAGAAATGGAAACATTCACAGGTCCTTTAGGTAGGGCTGATGATAAACTACTAAAAGTTGTGGGGAAACCGGGCAGTGGTGGCGCACACCTTTAATCCCAGCACTCGGGAGGCAGAGGCAGGCGGATCTCTGTGAGTTCGAGGCCAGCCTGGTCTATAAGAGCTAGTTCCAGGACAGGCTCCAAAGGTACAGAGAAACCCTGTCTCGAAAAACAAACAAACAAACAAACAAAAGAAGTTGTGGGGACTCGCTGATATCCCCCTCCCCAGCCCCCTCTGTGTAGCCTTGACTGTCCTTGCCTGCCTCTGGCTCCCAAGTGCTGGGATTAAAGATGTGCACCACCATGCCTAGATTTCTCTAACAATCTTAAATTTCTTTGAAATCCTTGGTCATTAGTGCTGAGATTGAAGATTAAAAACAGAACAAAACAAAAGAATATAAGATGCGAGGCCACAGATGTAATTCAGTTATTATAGCATTTACTTGGCATGCAATGGGTATTATCCCCAACAAAAATGTCACCTCTTCCTCTGGCATGAATGAAGATACCCAGACCTTCTCATCATTTCTGAATCAAGGGGCGTATACATCTGCCCGCTATGTGTGTGGGTGCACAAACAATAGGAGGCTAGACATCCTGCTCTATCACTCTACACCTCATTCCTTTCAGACAGGGTCTCTCACTGAACCTGGAGCTGGGCTATCAGCCAGCAAACCCGTGATCCTTCTGTCTCACCCCCACCCCCTAGTGTTGAGCTACAGATGTACATGGCTATGATGGGCTTTTCTTGTAGGTGCTGGGGATTTGAATTTAGGTCCTTATGCTTACATAGCAAGTGCACCTACCTACAGAACCATCACCCCAGACCAAATGACTTTTTAAAAATTTCATTTATTGGGGAGGGGAGCATGTGTTTGTGCAGAGTTCAGAGGACAATCTGTGAGAGCTGGCTTTCTCCTACCAGGCGGATCCCAGGAATCAAACTCAGGCAACTGGTGTGGAACAACTGTCTTTATCCATTGTACCAATCCAAATCAAAGGTTTTGGTGAACTTCTAGGAAAAGATGATTTTGTGTTTTGTCGATTCCTAGTTTCTACTGTTAGGACCTCTTTTGCTAAGCATTTCTCTGCACAGGAAAATTATGGTAGTACCTGAGCCTTAAGACAAGGATAGTAGTTTGGAGAAATTGCTCAATGAGTAAGGCACTTGACACCAAGCTTAAAAGACTCACATGGATCTGCAGGAAACCACAGGATGGAAAGAGAACCAACTCGTACAAACTGTCCTTTGACTTTCATAAGCATGCTGTGGCAGATGAACACACACACACACACCTCTGCATAAACACATGCCCTACCCTGCAATCAATAATAAATTTAAGAAATCATTTGGTCTGGGGAGATGGCTCTGTAGGTAAGAGTACCTGTTATGTAAGAAGCAACAAACACTAATGCAGCGACTCTGATTTCCAACCAGTAGCTGCTTAATCAATGAATCATGACAGACAGACCCATGGTGTATACTACAACAGCACTCTATGGGTCTGGCATTTTACCATTCTTCTATTCTGAGACAAATGTGGCCAGCAGAATCTCATACACATATATTCTCACTCTGTTGAATTCCAGAGATTGACTAGATTTGGACAGAATACCAAGACATCCTCCTCCTGCCACTTCTGTCAAATGAAGGTCACTTTCTGGGAGGCTGAATGCCAAGTCAGCAGACAGGACTGGGCATCCCTTCGGCCTGCTGATGGGCACATCTGACCTCCACAGTCCTAGCATAAAGGCCCTAATCCCAACAATGAGGAAAGATGGTAGTCTCTGAGGCAGATTCTTGGAGCAAAACCAGAAGGCTAACTACATGCACCTTTCACACACTTCTCTAAGTCATACCTCCCAATAACCTGGCTAAGAGCTCCTGACAGCTGGAGTTACATCAAACCAAACTCCTATGCGTTACAGAGGGAGGACAGGTAAGCTTGGGGAAGTAGACAGTGCCCAGACTCTTTACCTAGCCTGTCAATCTGCCTCACTGGCCTGTCAGCTGTTACCTGTCAGCTGCTCGGTCCCGCATCCTGTCTCTCCTCCTTTGCTTCTCCCGTCTTTTCTTCACATCCTCGTCTTCATCCTCCTTTTCTCCTGTAACAGAAAAGTCCCCTCGAGACACTGAGGAGCCTGCAGGCAAGGTCAGCTCCAGGGCCAAGTTGGATGCTGCAGTTTGGCAGCCACACCTTGTGCCCATCTTCCATTTCTTTATTGTGGCAGAGCCAGGACCCCCACGGCACTGAGGAGCTGTTAGAGGCTCCTATGTACCAGGACCTTTGATGAGAACCCAAAGGAGTTGCCTCACTCCTCCCATGGCCTGATGGGCAGAGGCCCATCCCACTCATGGCCACCTAGTCTGTTCTGTCCCAGCCTACTGGTCCAATATAGCACTCTGTTGTTGGGTCTTCTCCCATGTCACTCAAAGAGCAGCAAATAACCCCACGGAGGCAGAAGTTGAAGGCCTCAGAAAATAAAGCAAGCTGCACTGCCGCCCTCCATCCCACCTCTAGGTGGGCTGTGGTGACCGTCCAGTTGGCCTCACCTGAACTAAGGACTCAGCAGGTCTGACAGTCCTTGCTGGCCCGATCTCTATCTTCCACTCAGAAAACCAACATCCTTGGACTTTCCCAAGGCTGAGTGGGAAGCAATCCTAGAAACAAAAATGGGAAGAGACCAATTGGTCCTCCCATCCATCCCCTGGGCTGGCATAGCTCCCAGGAGAGCCCTGTGGACAGTATCTCAGCATGAGACCACGCCAGATCCCCAGGCTCAGAGTCAGGGCTGGATGCTGAAAAAAGGTTGTATAAGCATCTGAACTGTAACCCCTACCCCTGATGCCAGTCCCGAGACTGTCCCACGAAGATGGCGACCGGCGTGCGCTGCTCAGAAGCCTCTCAAAAGGACGTGTGGGACTTTTGGCAAGAGGTCACTGCCTGAAACTATGACTGCTGTTTAATAGCATAGTCATCCCGGTTGGGTAGCAGGACCTGTGCGCAACAAACATGTCACCTTTGCTTTAGCATTTACCGGCTGCATGATCTGCTGAAAGCTGGGGAGGAATCCCGTGCTGTGGGCAAAACTTTAATGTGCGGGGTGGGAACATCTGAGGAAGTTAACCCAAGAACCTTAAAGGAGCCAAGGGCCTGCACATCATAAGGGGTGAAGGCCAGCCTGTGATCATGGAGGGAAATCAGCTAGGACAGGCCCACAAGAACATGGAGAAAGACCAAGTAGCTGCAGAGTGAATCTAAGGTCACCCTTGCAACCTCAAGACCAACCACAGCAGGTATTTGTTCTCTGTCCACACAATCAAAGCTGCCAGTATTTCTGGCATACACTGAGGTTGATGATTGAGAACAAAAACAAGCAAAACAAAACAAAACAGAAAACCCCCAAAAACCAAAAAACTAGATGGCAGGAACAGCAAAGATGGGCCAGAATATGGGAAAAGGGAATAAAAAAAGGGGCCTCTTTCTCTTCAGATTTTGGAAATACACTTTCCTACCATGGGTATCTGGTGATACCCAGAGATGGGCTCCCCAGTTCCTATAACCTATATCTATATCCACTGAGGCAAATGAATTTTTTCAAGCAAATCCTGCCCCAAAGACTGGAGCAAAGCTTTGGGGGTGGTTCCCACAGTGTAGACCCACTGCACAGCTGCAACTCCTCTACCATGCCATGGAGCTCGGCAGTGAGTGCGGGTCAGACAGGAAGGCTGCAAAGGATACTGGGTGATGCCTACCTTTTTGTTTCCTGGAGTCACAGAATTCATCCTCCTAAAAAAGGTAAACATAATGTCAGGCAGTGAGGTGGAAGTTCCAAAATTCTCTATAAGCAGCCTAGGCCCTAATACCTAATGTGTGGTCTCACCACAGACCCTGGCCTGCTATGGTGCTGGGAAATGAGGCAGTATAAGGGAAACCTCAGAGCCATAGAGCAGAGCCCAAGTGCCCTGTTATGATTCACTGCCACTAGAAGACTACAAAGGGGGCTTGGAGAGTTGGCTCAGTGGTCAACAGCACTTGTTGTTCTTGGAGAAGACCTGGGTTCAATCCCTGGAAGCCACATGGTGGCTCACGAACATCTGGACATCTAGTTACAAGGCATCTAACACCTCTGACCACAGGCATGCACGCAAAACACTTTTATACACATGAAATAATAAACTATTGAAGAAAAAAGTCACTAACTTGGTTCTCTCCAAAGTGATAGAACCTGCCTGGTGTGTGTGTGTGTGTGAGAGAAAGAGAGGTGGCAGCAGCAAATCCCATATAGTCCACTAGTAGGAGAAGCAGCTCTGGTTTGTATTATTCTAATTCCAACACTGATTGGAAATAGGCTTTCTCAACTTCCAATTAGGATAAATTTATCCTAACAAATTAGGATAAATAGAGAGCCGATGATTATCTAAACAGAGTCAATGCCTTGGACAAGAGATATGCAGAGACTTCCATCATCAAGAGCTAAGTCAACTGAACGGGGAACAAGCAAGACTCTCACAAAAGTGTCAAGGCTGGGTAGAGCCAGGTGGAGAGTGACAGAGCACTTGAAGGGCACTGTTTAAGCTTTGGATTCCATTTCTTGCCACCCAGAAGAGAAAAGCTATTGAAGACCTGTTAGCCCACCCTCACCCTTCTCTCCACCTGACTGCCAGAAGTACCTAGAAGAAATTTTCTAACTCCATATACAGAGAGAAGAAAATTATCCTCCTCAGAAATGTGGTGTGGCCTGAGAACTGGCCTCTGCAGCCACTCCCCAGTGACTGGCTATCAGGACAACAGGCTGCAGACAGAGCCAGCGGCACCCTACAGAGTCCTACAATTAGAAGGCTAATGGCTACATTCAACACAGTAAAGCAAGAGGAATGATTTGGGAGCCTTTTTCTGGGGAAGAGGAAAAGTAGGAAGGGGGACAACTGGTTGGGATGTAATGTATGAGAGGAGAGGGAGTGGGGAAGGAGAGAGTAAGAGAATTGTTACAGGGTGCTCAAGAGATAGGTAGTTGTGTGGTTGAGTCTATCAATATAGCTATTTTCACCTCTGTAAAGAAGAAAGATAAAGGACAGAAGAAACCCCAGAGACAAAGAATCTGTGGTGAACTTACCCCCCTGAATTCTTCATCTCCTGACCGTAGGTCACCAGCTCCATCATCTGCCAAACACAGGCAACAGAAGTTATTAGCCCCTAGGTGGTGGCCCCCAGAGCATAATCATGCTCCCAAGCTCACTGACCAGACTGACAACAGGGGACAAAGTTGCCAGTAAACAATACCACATATCAAGTCTGAGCAGGCAACTTACTCATGTTGCACCTACCCGGTACAGTGGTCCCCAGAGCATACCGTTTTCAGATAAATCTCCTTCGCTGTCAGCTCGGGCCAGTTTGGCATCAGGCTCTTCATACAATGGAAACTGCTTCCGCTTCCTGCCCATGCTGTCTGGTCCAAAGCGCTCAAACCCTCTCCTTCGGGGCTACAGATACAAGCACATGCCATGTAAAGCTAACCTGGGCCAGAAAGTGCCCCACAGATGAGATCAAAGTTTGTAAGAACAAAGAACACAGGCAGGAGAAGCCTTAAAAAGTAAACTGTACTACATTTGGAGTTCAGAGTCAGTGTCATGCTTGAAGAAGCCAGACATGCACAGCCACGTGATTCACCAGGCTGACTCAGGCCGCTCCTGTTCTGTGACAGATGAACTGATGGAGATGATCTAAACCAAGTGGTGTAAACCTAGTAATAGCGAACGGCACACTGGGGAGTAAGAGCGTCACACAGTACAGGCAGGCACACAGCTTTTACCTCAATAAAGCTGCCAGGAAGAAAAGGCAAGAAGACCTGACATAACTTGGTGAACTTACCCAATCCCGTATCCGCGTCTGGGACCGGCCACATCCATAAGGCATGGTGCTACCAAAACCGCCCACCCCCTGCACGCCCATCATGCTGTAGTCAGGGGCCATGGACTGGGAGAAGAGGGAAGGAGGTGGCCTGCTGGTGGAGGGCCCAGCCAGACCACGCCCACCCATGTAGTTCAGCTCATTCCAGGCAGCAGGCAGGGGCTCCGAGGACGATGAGGGTGGCATGAAGGGATCACTGCGTACGAAGGTGCTGGAGTTGCTCCGGTCTTGGAATCGGGTCTGGCCCTGGCCCCGGCCCCTCATGAAGCCATCAAGGGAGCCCCGTTCTGGTGTTGGGTCCCGACAGTCATTGAATGTCCCACCAAAGCTACCATTGCGGTCAGCCCCCAAGTCAAACTCATAATCATAGCTGTAGCTGGGGCGATAGGGATTCTGCTCAGGCAAACAGGGCCTGGAGTCATAGGGCTCATACGCCTGGAAGCGGAAGGAGCTGCAAGGGAAGTACACAACCTGTTAGGAACAGCCAGGGTACTGGCTAAGCCACCTGGGCCACCCAATCATCAGTCCTAACCTTACATTAAGCTGACCTCCTTAGATTCAGTACAGAAAACCAAACCACCCAGTATCCATTTAAATGCCCAGAAGGCAAAACAGCCCAAGACCTCATTCAAACATTGCTAACAAGAAAGAGCATGAATCCTTGCCAGATGAAGACAAAGTCTGGAATTAACTAAATCAGCCAACAGTTTAGTCTTCAAGTCTTACTGCAGCACCCCTACTCCCTGTAGGGCCCAACTCCTGTCTAATACACAAGAGCAGGAAAGAAGCCTTTCTAAGAGTTGGTACCCACCCCCACCTCATGATGCCAGAAAGTGATTCCACCAGGAAAGGTTTAATCACCTGTCTCGGTCCTGTATGCCCTCCCCACCGCTGCTGGTCCCACCCCTGCCTCCTTCCTTGGACAACATGTCCAAACGCTGGTTGATCTTGGCAATGAGCGAGTCAGAATTGTCAGTGCACGGCTCTGGTGCAAAAGAGGCCATATGCATGGCAGAGCTCCCAGCTGCCAGGCCACCATCACTGGCCTTGGTGGCCTCCCATGAGGCTGGGCCATAACTGTAAGGCGCTCCCGCAGAGACATTCGTATTCTGGGCGTTGTAGTAGCTGTAGTTGTCATAACCTGTCAGAAGAAAGAGAAACTATGTCAGACCTCAGAACAGGCTGCCCATGACATCATGCACAGAAGCACTCTTGGTCTTGTAGGGAAAGATTTACCAACATCAAACCACAATACACAAGTGATCAAGACCAGAGATGGGGGCCACAGGTGTTCTACTAGCAGGCTTTCACTAAAGACAGTAGGATTTGTTCCCTAAACAGAGCCAGTGGCAGCTAAGAACCTTGGAATAGCAATTCAGGGTACTGACAAAGACATTTGAGAGCTACAGTTTTTGCACTGTACCCACAATCCCTCTCCAAGTTCAAACTCCCCCTCAGGACAGCCTAGCTCTAGCACTGATACTCAGCACCCAGTGTACACAGCCAGGATGGGAACTGGGGACCTGTACTTCAGCCCATCTGGGTGGCTGCTCAGAGCTTCACTTGCTCCCTCAAGACCCCTTTCAGAAGGTCTTACCTTGCCAGCTGGCCACACTGCTTCCGTATGTACCTTAGGAGAAACAAGACAGAAGGGCTTCAGTGTCAGAATTACAACTCCCCTAGGGACAGCTGCCACCTCACTTCACCAGAAGACAGGCTGTGACAATGTGGCAGAGGTCCTTGGCATGTTTCATAGAAAAGGTACAGAACATATCAACATTTCTCTCCCAGGCCAGCCTGACTTCTCCCCTGAAAGCTAAGGAAAGGAAGGTAAACAGCAGACCCCAGGATGCCGACCTACACCACAGTGCCAACGGAGGGGCCAGTCTGGCCCAGATCTCAGAGATTCCCCGAAGCGGCCCAGTTCTCACCAGGAGCCAATCATACCAACAGGACGTGAGTGGAAAATCAATCCCATCCGAACAATATTATGTGTCTCTGAGACACCACCTCCTGGGACATAAAAAATGGTATATAGAAAAGTGGCTTGCCTCCAAAGGTGCTAGGGACATGTCCTATGACTGGAGAAAAAGAAAAAAAGGGGAAGCCTTTGTGCCCTGGAATGGGGTAGAGTGTGGGGCAGGTTTTAGACTCACAAAAACTTGGTCCACATCCAGTCCACCGTTTTTGTACAGTGCTTGAGTTAAAAACAGGTTTTATCTCTCTAAATGGTGATAGGAAAAGTACCCCCAAAACAAAGCATATTCCAGGACATACCAAATATATAAGGAAATGTACAATTTGTACATAGAGACTAAAAGGGTGTATGTGCTACTGAGGCCCAAACCTGGGGCCACTTGCAATGTCTACTGAGTTCATTCCAGATTTTAAAAGAAAACTGAGTAATGAGAGTGGGCGGAGTGATACATTCTACTTATTATCCAGCCTCTACTCCCTTGCAGTACACAACAGAGTAGTCTTCCAGAGAAAGGGAGGAAGGCAAGGATACTCTGGTGAAGGCAGATGTTGGCTTCTTCTTCAAAGGGGCATCCAGTGTGGGGGAACCCATGATTCAACTCGTCAAGCAGAAACCACTTACCCTGGGTGTTGGCAGGTCCAGCACTCCATGCCCCATAGCCTGTGAAGAGATCACGTGTCAAGATTCTATCCACCATCAAGAAAACGTGGGCTCTGAGAATCTCCCACAATCTAAAGGGTTTTCCTTTGTCAGAAGTGGCAACTGACAATGCCACCCACCCTGCAGCTGGAGACCATCACACTTGACCTGGCTGAACTGAGGTCAAGGCAGAAAAATGAGAGAGCTAAACCTGGGAGGACACAGGACCAGCCACACAGCATCAGGCCATAGCAGCCACCACATAAGTGGGAAAACAGCTCAGGTTGCTGCCAGAAACGCCACATAACTGAGAAACAAGCTGGGAATTTAGTGACATCATTGTAGGGTTGGCTTTCATGTAACTAACAATGTCCTGGGCTTTTGATCCTCAGCCTGACCCTCAGCATTCCTTATCTACCCTACAAACAACACCCATCTGGGCGGGAGGGGATTATATTCTCTTCATTTGTGTCCCTGCAGCCTAGCTCACTGCTTTCCACGGTGGCACAGTCCTTGGTATCAAACAGTCTCACCTTGATAAAGTGAACCATTCTCTCTCTCTCTCTCTCTCTCTCTCTCTCTCTCTCTCTCTCTCTCTCTCTCTCTCTCCAGACTATCCCCCACCCACAATTAACAAAGTCCCTTCAACACCTTGACAGAACAGGCATTCAGCAAGTACCACCAAACCTAACTGCTTACTAACAGCTGAGAGCTGAAGCTCCTCAGGGAACTTAACTGTCCTGAAGAGTTTGCCTTTGTGCCTCTGCAGGCTACGGCTTCCTGACCCTGCCTCACCCCGTTAACCAAGCAGCCCTTGTAACAAACAGTAAGTGAACCACCTCCGGGTACAAACTGTGTCCCTGTGAGACACTAGTCTTTCTAGCAGCCATCAGTCAGTGGGAGGAGGAAAACAGAGAGGCTGTTAGTATTTTAACAGTGTATGTGAAGTTTTTGGTATGTAGAAAGTGGAGTCACCATGAAGTTCCCTAACCTGAGGAACACAGGGCAGGGTTCTGACAGGTATCTGGATCATCTAGGATCTGAAAGGTCAAGAGCACTACGACGTCCGCGTGCTCATCACATCTCAGGTCTCTGCCAAGTCCATTTCCAGGTATTTCAAGATCCTTCCTTTCTCCAGCAGCTCAAAGTTGCCAACAACTCCCTGAGCCCATTTCGAGTCCCATTCCTTGAGTTCCAACTGTCTCCTGCACGTAAATTTCGGCCCAGAGTAAAGGCCTCCCCGGAGGTTCACATTCTAGAGATTAACGCTCGAAAATTGAGGCCTAACTACAAAAAGATGCTAAAAATTTAAGTTAGGAAAGGCAACGTTTCCGCTTTGGCCATCCCTTGGTCCCTCTAGGCCTCCGTAATGTTACAGTTAAGCGCTCCAGTCCCTCAGTAAAGTGACACTTAGGAGGACGGCTAATCTGCAGTCCTGGTTGGAGAACATCAGGTTTTGCACAAAACCACGCAGTACCTGACCCTCAATGCCCGGTCCTTGGAGGAGTCCACCTCCCAGAAGCAGCACATACCGCGCACACTGCAGAGACCCTGCCAGGTCGTTCCGAGGGGTCGCACCGCTGGGCTTTGGGAAAGCAAGGCACAGGGCACGTGCTCAACGGCGGCCGCCAGCTGCAGACGAATTGTCGGGACTCCGCCCGCGGCCGCCGAGGCCCTGGCCGGACCTCACCCCCGCGCGCCCTAGCCCCGCCCCTGGGGACGCCATTTTGTGGCGTCTTCGGAAGAGAAGGCGGGACTGAGACCACCAGGGTAGTCGGGTTCGGGCCGGGCCGAGATCCTCCAGCTTTGAGTGGTGAAACCGGCCCAAGGCGCCTCCAGAAACCCTCGACCTCGGCCTCCGCGCCTCAGCCGCCTTCCCCCGCGACTGCGTGGAGGCCCAATAAGCGCCGCGCGCGCGTCCCGGCATACGCTCCGCAGGAGCGGGCTGCGGCGAGCGCGTTCCGACCGCCCGCTAGGCCCGCGTACCACCGCGCGGCAGTCTTTCTTCTGTGCGTGCACAGTAGCCCGTACTAACCTCCGTAGCCTTGCTCCATGTCTCCGACGCGTTCCGCCAGCAGACCCTTTTCTTAGCGTCCCCTGGAACGCATGCGTTCAACGTGCCGTCTGCTACTGAAAAACGAAGGACCTACGTCCCTCCTCCTAGCACTACCATTGGTTGGTCTCCAACTGAGCCCGCCCCAGCCGCCCCACCTAGCCTTCCTGGTTGCTAGGCTCTGGAGTTGAGCCTCAAGGGTAAGCTAGTGCGCAAGAGCATCCAGGTTCGCGCACGCGTGAGCTTCTCTAGCGCGTCCACCCGCGCGCAAGCGCACTTAGTCTCTGGACACTTCCCAGGGCCCGCCCTCGCTACTCAGGAACAACACAAATGAAGACTTGGGGTGGGAAAGCACTTTATTGGGCTGGGCTTCCAGCCTCGGCCATGCGAGCCCTGCCGCTCTCGGTATGGGCTATGGAGCACCCCCACCGCCCTCCTCGTCGTCTTCCACGTCGAGACCCGGGATCCCTCGGATCTGGCACTGAAGGGCCCCGCCCAGCAGGGGTACGGCGCCCTCCTCCTCTTCTGGAGGCGGCGGAGGTGGCGGTGTTGCAGTCTCTGGGGCAGGCTCCAGGGGCACTGGGGGCTGTGCTGGCACGCTCTCTGAGAGCCCTGTCGCTTCACCTGGTGCCCCCTCATCCAGAGCGCCACTGTCCACCTCTTCTTGCTCCTTCTCCTCCTCTGGGCTGTCGGTGAAAGGATTCTCACCCTGTAGAGATTGATGGAGAGTTTAAAAGGAGGAAAGATTCACAGGGACAGTATGGGGACCAGGCTCACGAAGAGGTCAGGGCTGAACAGCGCCTTTACCTTTTAGCCTCACCTTCAGATAGCGCTCCAGCTTCTTGCTAATGAGCTTGTTGTTAAGAATACTGCGGGCCACCATGAGAGAGGACTTCTTGGACTGTTCCATCATGAGCTATGGGTGGGGCAAACAGAGCTGGTGAGGCTGCTCTGGAAGCCCAGCAAACCCAGTTGAGGCAGTAACTAGACCTAGTGTCTGTAAATTCACATTGGACATAATTGTCCGGTCACTCTACAAGCTTGGAAGGAACTAGGGGACTGATCTGATCTTAGTGCAGTGCTCCATTCATCCATACCATATTTACTGTATGTGAAATGTGATTCGCTTACATAGCAACTATTGTAACTGCCAGGCCTAGTGGCACAAGCTGTAATTCCAGCTACCCAAAGATGCCCTTGGTAAAAGCACTGGCTACTCTTTCAAAGACAGGTTCATTTTCCAGTTCTAGGGGATCTAATGCCCTCTTCTGGCCACCATAGGCAACCAGGCACTTGCATGGTGAGCATTTATATATGCAGACAAAACACACAAAATAATAAAAAGTTAAAAAAGGTGGAGGGAGCTGGTGTGAGGGCCAGCCATGACAATCTAAGTCTTTACTTCCTCCAACCATTATCACCTGGGACTCTGGCCATCCATGAATTTCAATAGAGGCTGGAGTCTCAATAGTTTTTATGAAGCCGGGCTGCAGGAGAAACCACAAGCTGAGATCACCCGACCCCCACCCAACAGACCATTCAAAGGAAATTTCTGGCATCCTAAGCACCTGCCAGAGCACAGTCACCAGGAAACCCTAGACGAAAGTCAGCCAATAAGGGGCTTTAAAACCTCAGAAACTCCTCACCCCCACCTTTACTACTATAAAATCCTATTCTAATTGAGCTCGGGGCTCTCCAATTATTCCAATATGTTGAATATGTGGGGAGACCGAGTTTGCAAACTCGATTAAAATAAAGGTTTTTTGTTTTTATATATGGGACTCTTGGTTTCCTTGGCTTGTCGGGGATTGTGGATTTGGGCATAACACTGGAAGTAATAGTCAAGTGACAGACTGCTTACTTAGTATTCCTGCAACCCTAGGTTCAGTTCCCAGATACATACACACATAATACAGGTGTAATAAAACCTCTTAAAAGTAAAATGTAAAAACCGTAATAAAGGGGCTGGCAAGATGGCTCAGTGGGTAGAGGCATATGTTACCAAGCCTGACAATATGAACCAGTCCCTCAAGTTATCCTTTGATTTACAAACACACACACACACAGACACAAAACAAGGAGCAAATTTTCCTAGCACACTAGGAGGTGGGTTTTTTTGTTTGCTTGTTTGTTTTTTTTTTGTTTCCCTCCTCCCCCCCAGACAGGGTTTCTCTGTGAAATGGCCTTGGCTGTCCTGGAACTCACTCTGTAGACCAGGCTGGCCTCAAACTCATTGAGATCCTCCTACCTCTGCCTCCAAATTCTGGGATTAAAGGCGTGCACCACCACACTCAAAGAGACTGTCTATAAAGAGAGTATAAGGTGGGTGATGGTGGCACGTGCCTTTAATCCCAGCACTTGGGAGGCAGAGGTGGGCAGATCTTTGTAAATTCAAGGACAGCCAGGACTGTTTCACAGGGAAACCCTGTCTCGGAAAAACAAACAAAATAAACAACAACAACAACAAAAAGTATAAAAACAAATACAATCAGCCCCATCAGTGCACACCTGTAAGCCCAACACTCGAGGCAGCAAGGAGGACTACTCCAAGTTCAAGGCCAGCCTGACTATATAGGTCAGTTCAGGACAGCTTGGGCAACACGAGACTCTTCTTGCTAGGCTGTGGTGGTGTACACCTTTAATTGCAGCACCTTTAATGGAAGGCAGACGCAGGTGGATTTCTTTGAGTTTGAGGCCAGCCTGATCTACAAGAGCTAGTTCCAGGACAGCTAGGGCTACACAGCAAAACTATCTTGAAACAAAACAAAACAAAACAAAACAAAAATCAAAGGCAGGCGGATCTCTGTGAGTTCGAGACCAGCCTGGTCTACAGAGCTAGTTCCAGGACAGGCTCCAAAGCCACAGAGAAACCCTGTCTCGAAAAACCAAAAAAAAAAAAAAAAAAAAATCAAAAATCAAAAAACAAAACAAAACACACACACACACACACACACACACACACAAAACCATGACTGCCTCAAAAAACACCAAAACAAACTAGGACTACCAGTAGAAACTGTATTAAAAGTTGAGCACTTGGGAGGCAGAGGCAGGCGGATCTCTGTGAGTTCGAGACCAGCCTGGTCTACAAGAGCTAGTTCCAGGACAGGATCCAAAACCACAGAGAAACCCTGTCTCGAAAAAAAAATAAAATAAAAGTTGAGCATCCTTTTACTCCACAGGATTCAGACATAAAGAAACAAAGACACTGCTCTACTGGTGGATCAGTTTGTTTCAGACTCTGGAAAGCTGTTTGACAGAAAACACCAGAAGTACAAATTTACTATCCCTAATAGAGTAATTCCTATCCCTAAATTTAAGAATTAGAAATATGCACCTTTACTAAATGTAGGGGTAAAGAACTGGAGGCATTTATGTTCTTTGGAGGAGAAGTGGGCAAGCTATTCTACCTAAAATAATACCCTACAGCTCCACCTATCAGGCCCTGCTAGAAGGTGTTAAGTCTGGGCCTTTTGTTTTTATTGAAACAAGGTCTCTTTCCTTTCCGTTGTTTTTTGTTTGTTTTGTTTTTGAGACAAGGTTTCTCCGTGTTTTCCTGGAACTCACTTTGTAGGCCTTGAACTCCAAGATCCACCTCCCCAGTGCTGGGATTAAAGGTGTGTGCCACTACCGCTCAGCAAGAAAGACTTGGTCTTGCTGTGGTAGTTTATTGTGTTTTGGGGGGCTTGTTTGGTTGCTTTGGAATTATTATTATTTTTTAGTTTTTAGTTTTTCGAGACAGGGTTTTTCTGTAGCTTTGGAGCCTGTCCTGGCACTAGCTCTTGTAGACCAGGCTGGCCTCAAACTCACAGAAATCCGCCTGCCTCTGCCTCCTGAGTGCTAGGATTAAAGGCGTGCGCCACCACCGCCCCGCTGGAATTATTTTTTGTAGGCAAGACTGGCCTGAGCTCACTGTGTAGTTTGGTTTCTCAAACTTGTAGTAATTTTCCTGCCTCAGCCTCAGGTGGGAAAATTTGGATATGCCTAGTTTTTTTTTTTAATTTTTTATTTATTATGTATACAGCATTCTGCCTGCATGTATACCTGCAGGCCAGAAGAGGGCACCAGATCTCATTATAGATGGTTGTGAACTGCTGGGTTGTTGCTGGGCATTGAACTCAGGACCCAAAGAAAAGCAGCCAGTGCTCTTAACTGCTGAGCCCTCTTTCCAGCTCTGAATATGCCTAGTTTATAAACTGGCTCTGAATTTATATCCTCTTGGCCTTCTGAATGTTGGAATTGCAGATGCGCTATCACATCTGAGTCACAGGTCTGGAGGACACATCAACATGCTGGGCCATTTCTTCAGAGGCGGGAGTGCAAACATGATAGTCAAAGAAAGAATGAAAGGGTTTTCTGTTTCCTTCATGTGTGTACCAGGGCTCAAACCGGGCTGTCAGGCTAGGCAACAACCGTTACCCATTGAGCTACCTCCTTAGTCCTCTTTATATATTTTATCTACTAACAGACTGAGTGTGCAAGTAACAGGTTAAGGTCCTTTCTTCCCCCATCTATGTGTCCAGCAGCTGTTTCCAGGTTTTGGTTATAATGACCAAACATGAGAAATATTTAAAATACTGTACAACTTATATACTTTCAGGTTGGTGCTTTTAATTCTAACCAGATGAGTAATACCAAGTGATAGTGCCTGATTATCTAGTGTCTCCTTCAGCCTCTAGTCCAACAGTGACTCACACATATCTGCACTAGCCTTAAAACAACCGACTGTACAGCACTCAGGAAAAAAATAGAGCCTGACCTGGTCAGTGGGATGCATCTGTAGGACCAGCTACTGCAGAAGCAGAGGCAGAAAGATTATCTGAGCCCAAAGATTCAAGGCCAGATCAGGTAAAACAGTCTCCTCTTACCTGCCTCTTCTCGGCATTGCTGTTCTGTCTTTGCTATCAGATAAAAAGGATCTTTGCTTTTCTGCCGCCCTGGCCTCCAGCAACCAACCCTGAGTGCTCTGATGTGCACACTGAAATAACTGTCCAGAGTTTCTGTAAGGTCAACTCCCTTAGCTTCCAGAGTGCTTGGCCTGCTCAGGAAGATTTATTGGAACAGTCAAGGCAAACACACGATCTAATTTTCTCTCTGATATCCTGATCTTTTATTTTTCACATTTAAAGTCTCTAGAATTCAGTACATGCTATGAAGCAGGGATACAACTTTCTTTTCCACAAGTTTATAAAATGCATTAGCATTTTCCTACTAAACTGAAATATAGGTCTATAATCCTATTTCCATCCCCCCCCCCCCCCAAGATAAGGTTTCTCTGTGTAGCCCTGGCTGTTCTGGAACTTGCTTTGTAGACCAGGCTGGCTCTAACTGAGAGATCTTCCTGCCTCTGCCTCCAAGTACTGGCATTAAAGGTATGTACCACCACAGCCCAGCAATTCTATTTTTTTTATAAATTTAAAATCCAGGGCTGGGGCTGGAGAGATGGCTCAGAGGTTAAGAGCTATTGCCTGCTCTTCCAAAGGTCCTGAGTTCAATTCCCAGCAACCACTTGGTGGTTCACAACCATCTGTAATGGCATCTGGTGCCCTCTTCTGGCCTGCAGGCATACACACAGACAGAGTATTGTATACATAATAAATAAATAAATATAAAATCCAGGGCTGGGGATGTAACTTGGTGAAACAATGGCACAGCAAATGTAAAGCCCTGGACTCAATCTCAGCACACGTGCACACACAACACACCCACACACCCTCACCTCTCCATAAGGGGTCTAGAGAACAAGCAGACCCTCACACCTCCAAAAAGGCTTTAGAGAAACAAGCATCCACCCCACCCCCGTAACTGCTCTAGAGAAACAAGTAACCCATGTCTCCATGAGGACTTTAGTGAGATAAGCTCCCACCCCACCTCCATAAGGGCTCTAGAGAACACGCTTTCTTTTCAGAAATTTGACAGCTCAACATAGGTCTTTATTCCACTTTACTTATCCTTGACAAATTATTCACTATTTAACTATAAGGTTCTTTCTCAGATCCAGACAGAGGTCAGTATAATAACAGATTAGCTTTCTAAAACTCCAAGAGATTCACCAGAATCTCCTAATCCTATCTGCTGCAATAACATTGAGTTAAACAAATGCTGAATTTTGAGACACACAGTTGTGAGACTGTCTAGTCGTTAATTACTGGCCCATTTCAACTTTTTAAATATTGAATTGTATTGGCTTTGCAGTGAGTTTTAATCTGCTTAGCAAGTCTCTGAACTCAAAACTGCCTTTTGTCTAGTATTTCTGGCCACTGTTAAACATGCCTTTTTTATATCTTAAATCCCATCCCCTTACCACATTCCACTAAACTTAAGACCACTTTGTTATAATCACTCAGCTTCTCTAAGAATGTTACCCCTGGGCTAGTAAGATGGCTTCAATGGGTGAAGAACAGCCTGCCAAAACTAGGGTCTCAAGTTTTGTCCCTGAGACCCACAGGATAGAGAGAGAAAATCTAATTCCCAAAAAAGAAAGCTGTCCAAGACTTCTACATATATGTAGAACTAGTGCACATGCATGCCACCACACACAAACAATAACTGTAATTTTAAAAAAGATTGCTGCTACAGTGTGTACACTTTCCCTTCCAGTATTTTATTCCAAGAATGTTGCTAGAGTCTTACCGAGTCATCCTTTGCAGTCACAGATCTCAGGCTAATCTCTCTCTCACTCTCTTTCTCTCTCCCCCTTCTCCTCCCCCTGGGTGCTGAGAGCAAAGGCATGTGCTAACACTGCCTGATGGCTAATTATAGTTTACTATGTGTTTAAATTACTACTAGGTTGATACTTATATTTTCTTTTTATACCTTCCCATCTTTAAAAGTAAGCTAATTTATAGTTTCATCTTGGTATTATCTTTATTTGATTTTTGGAATTAAAGTTAAAACAGTTTCACAAGAGGATGTTACAGTGATATGTCCATGGTTTCCTCCCTTGAAGGATAACATCAAATTCTCACCATAAGAATGAAAAAGACCCGGGCCGGGCAGTGGTGGCGCACGCCTGTAATCCCAGCACTTGGGAAAGGCATTGAGACTTGACGGCCAGCCTAGGCTACATAGTGAGATGCAAACTCAATGAAAACAAAATAAACACACAAAAACCAGAAAGCAGTTGCTGGGGAGATGGCTCAGTCAAGCACTTGCTATGCAAATACGAGGATCTGAGTTCAACCCTCGGATACCATATAAAAAAGCGGATGTCGTGGCATGGGTTTGCACTCCTAATATAGCTAAGTGGAGACAAACTAGTCCCTGGGGTTTGCTGGCGTCTAATTAGGCCAGTTTAGAGACTGTCAAAAGCAGAAAGAAAGGAAAGAAGGCAGGCAGACAGAAAGGGGTTCGCAGTGACTAAGGAATGACATCCTACAGCTGTCATCTAGCCTCCAGAGCATACTGAATGTATGTGCAAGCATATATTGTCCAAACCTACACAACCCTCCCAAACACTAACACACACGCACAGTAACAGCCTAAAAGGTTACTTAGAGCAGACAGACATCTAGAACAGCAGGCTGAGGGCTCTGTGGATTCCAAGCTCTAATGAAACTGATGAAAACTTGAAAATAAGACCTACCATTTTAAGTTTCTGGAAATGTTCCAAAGGACAAACAGTAGATGAAGAAATGCTTAATGAAAAAAATATTTTGACCCGTGGCAGCAACAACTAACTGCATTTCTCTTTCTGTCCCTGCTACTTGTTGCAGAGGCTCAATTCTTGATAAAGAGATAACAGCTTAGTTGCTGTCAAGAGTCAAGGTTTGCCTTAGAGCACAGCATGCTAAGACTATAAGGATCCGCATATCCTTGGTTTGTTCATAAAGGAAGGGCCCAGGCTGAGAGAGAAGCTAAGAGACAGGCTAGAGCCAGTTCACGTTCCCTCATCTCTTTCTAAAAGCTGAGAAGTAACACAAAGAGAAGTGCTTCTTTGCCTTCATTCTTCAAGCCTTGGCTCAAACTCTGCCTTGGGAGAGCCCCTTAGAGACCACCCTTCTCAGTATCTCCCAAAGGAATGAACCTCATCACCAAGAATGACATTCAAGATGAAGGGCTCTTTTTTTTTTTTTTTAAATATTTATTTATTTATTATGTATACAATATTCTGTCTGTGTGTATGCCTGCAGGCCAGAAGAGGGCACCAGACCCCATTATAGATGGTTGTGAGCCACCATGTGGTTGCTGGGAATGGAACTCAGGACCTCTGGAAGAGCAGGCAATGCTCTTAACCTCTGAGCCATCTCTCCAGCCCCAAGGGCTCTTTCAAACCAATGGAGAATGTAGAAGGCGCCTGGAAGATCCAAGACGAACTAGAGATTGTGCTACAAAAAACCAGCATAAGAGCTAAGAACAGCCTTCCTGGATTGAGAATAAATTTCAAACAATAATTTCAAAAACTAACCCTGTAAAAAGTCCCAACTGGGGTAAATGGGAGCTAGGACTGAACTCAGGGTGTCAATGCATGCTAGAGAGACATTCTACCATTGAGCCATACCTCAAAGTTAATGTTCAAATTAGAGAGCAAGTTAAATTCCAGGGAGCAGCTAAAAACAAAAGAACAACCAGCCAGAAATTAATGTAGTTCATTAGCTGGTGTGACTAAGAAAGAGACAGGTGATTCATAGTCATTTCGGGGTAGCAGTGATATGTCCATGGTTTCCTCCCTTGAAGGATAACATCAAATTCTCATCATAAGAATGAAAAAGACCCGGGCTGGGCGGTGGTGGAACACGCCTTTAATCCCAGCACTCAGGAGGCAGAGGCAGGCGGATCTCTGTGAGTTCGAGACCAGCCTGGTCTACAAGAGCTAGTTCCAGGACAGGCTCCAAAACCACAGAGAAACCCTGTCTCGAAAAACCAAAAAAAAAAAAAAAAAAAAAAAAGACCTCATTAGCAAATACCTCACTAAAGAATTTGGCTTGTCCTGGGAATGTAATTTCATAGTGCAGTGGTTGTCTAGAATGTACAAGGCTGGGAGTCTAACTCCAACACCCATATAAAGGAAAAAAAAAAAACCAAAACAGAATGTGGCTAATCATTAAACACACAGACAAGCAAAGATTAACAAGATGCTACAATGTGGAGGGTGAGAGGTCAGTCACAATGTGGTTTCTAAGACATCTAAATTATAAGATATTCAAAGGAAACTGATCCATATTTAAAACAACAAAAAGCCTCTAACAGCAAACAGGAAGCAATCCATGAAACAGTGACTGGATGTCAGGTTTTTTTTTTTTTTTCATACAGGGTTTCTCTGCATAGCCTTGGCCGTCCTGGGACTCGTTCAGTGGACAAGGTTGGCTCTGAACTCCGAGACTGGCCTGCCTCTGCCTCTTGAGTGCTGGGATTAAAGTCCTGTGCTGCCGCCAACATCACTACCACCACCACTGCCAGCACCACCACCCACAACCATTGGCAGATGTAGTTTTTCTTACAGTGATTTCATACAAGTTTACCTTATGTAACTGAATAATTTGAGTACTCATTCATCAAAATAGGTGTCACCACAGCCTGGCAGTTTCATCATATTTCAAAGTGGCAACTAAAAATACATTTTTAAGCTGGGTATGGTGGCACATGCCTTTAACCCCAGTACTCAGGAGGCAGAGGCAGATGGATCTCAGAGTTCGAGGCCAGTCTGGTCTACAGAGTGAGTTCCAGGACAGCCAAGACTACACAGAGAAACTCTGTTCCAATACATACATACATACATACATTAATAACCAAAAAGAAAAAAAAACCTTGAAAACAACAAGAGAAAAATAAATCCTCACTTATAAGCTGATGTCTCACCATGCAGAAGAAACCCAAAGGCAGTAAGAATGCAATAGAAATGCTTTAAAAAACAACTGTCAACTTGTCCCTGGTCAGCCTGAAACTCACTATTTAGACCAAGCTGGTCTTGAACTCACAGAGAGATCTATCTGCCTCTGCCTCCTGAGCACTTGGATTAGGGGACTATGCCACCATACCAGGTATAAATCACACTTTGAGAAACTGTTGAAAGGAAATAATAAAAGCAAACAAACAACTCCCAAAGTAATCATCCAATAGAAGACAACACTGTAAGAGTAACACTCTGACAACCGCACCAAGAAGCAACAGAAAACAATATTGTAAAATAGGACTTCCCAAATTCATCTAAAACAACGTAAGTCTATCATACTACCAACTAGATTTTTTTCAGAGAAAATGACAAGTTAAACATAAAACTAAATAGCATACAATAACCAAATCAATCTTTTTTGGCTGGCTGTGACAGTGCATGCCTGTAATCCAAGTACTCAGGTGGCTAAAGCAAGAAGATTTTCAGTTCCAGGCCATCTGGGGGCAGCCTAGCGAGTTCCAGGCCAGCCTGACCTATACTGTGCGATCATGCCTCAAAATAAAACAGCTGAGGATGTAGCTCAGTGCTAAAATGCTTGCCTACACATACAAAGTTCTAGGTTTGTTCAATTCCAGGATGGCAAAACAGACAAGCAAGCAAGCAAGCAAGCAAGCAAGCAAGCAAGCAAGCAAGCAAGCAAGCAAGCAAAAACCATTTGTGAGGGGCTGGAGAGATGGCTGGGGGTTAAGAGCATGCATCGCTTTTCCAGAGGACCTGAGTGTGTTCCTAGTCTTCATATTAGATGGTTTTCAACCACCTGTAGCTCTAACTCCAGTGGATTTGATGCCCTCTTCTGACTTCAAGAGACAACTGCGCTCACGTGTGTACACATGCATGCACACACAGGTACACACTTAAAAATAACATTTAAATAATTTAAAAACAACAATAACATTAACAAATTTTTCTGTGAAGTAAAGACACATCAAGAAAGTGAAAAAACCAAAAGCTGGAAACAACTCAAATGCCTAAGAGCAGTGGTTCTCAATCTGTGAGTCATGATCCCTAGGAGGAGGGGTTGAATGACTTTCACAGGGGTCCCATATCAATATTTACATTTATAACAGTAGCAAAATTATTATGAAATAGCAACAAAAATAATTATTGTTGGGGTCACCACAAATATAAGAAACTGTATTAAAGGGTAACAGCATTAGGAAGGTTGAAAACCACTGCCTAAGAAGATGAGTGAATTTAAAAAACCAAAATAAGCAGGGCGATGGTGATGCACACCTTTAATCCCAACACTTGGGAGGCAGAGGCAGGCGGATCCCTGTGAGTTTGAGGCCAGCCTGGTCTAAGAGCTAGGGCAGTTACACAGAGAAACCCTGTTTTGGAAAACCAAACCAAGCCAAACCAAAACCCAATATATTTAGACAATGAATACATAGAATGAAATTGATACATGGTACAATGTAGAGATCCCTGAAAATGCCATGCTCACAGAGAAAGAAGCAATCACAGACCATGCATTATTTGAGTATCTATAAGTAATGTCAGAAATAGGCGAATAAACAGTAAACTGGAAACTTCCTAGAACCAGGGCTGAATGAAAAGTTAGGGGTAGGTAACAGCTAGTATGTTCTATAGCCGACTGTGGTGTGGTTATAGACCTCTGTGGTCTGTAGGATCTACCCAAAACCACTGAATTCTAATAAAAAAAAAAGTTGTGTCTATATATAGGGTGTGTACTAGTTAGTGTATGTGTGCTTGTGTTTTGATTCAGGATCCCTCACTGAACCTGAAGCTCATCAATTTATCTAGACTGGTTGATCAAACAGCTTTAGAAACCTACCTGTCTCTGTGACCCTGAGACCTGAGATGATTATAAGAAGCCAAGACTGGCTGTTTCCATGGTGTTACATAATGAGACTAGCTGTCCCAAAATTCTGCTACCATGGCTTCCCCACCATGGTGGACCGTACCCTTGAACTGTGAACCAATATAAACTTCACCCTCTTTTTTTAAATTAATTAATTAATTTTGTACACAGCATTTTGCCTGCATGTATGCCTGCAGGCCAGAAGAAGGCACCAGATCTCATCACAGATGGTTGAGAGACACCATGTGGTTGCTGGGAATTGAACTCAGGACCTCTGGAAGAGCAGCCAGTGCTCTTAACTGCTGAGCCATCTCTCCAGCCCTAAACTTCACCTTCTTTATGTTGCTTTAATGGTCAGGTATTTTGTCACCAAGCTGGCCTCGAACTCACAAGACATCTTCCTGCCTCTGCCTCCTGAGTGCTGGGATTAAAGGTGTGTGCCACCACTGCTCGGCTCTTTTCTTTCTTGAATAGAGCTTTACTCTGTAGCCCAGGCTGGCCTGGAGCTAACAACAACCCTTCTGTCCTGGCCTTCCATGTGCTGGGATTACAGGTGTGAGCCACCATCATATCTGGCTAGTTTGAAACTTTCAAACGTGTAGCATTTAAACTGCACTAAAATTACCTCACCTGTAATTTCATCAAAGGCAAAATTCTGACTTTATATTTTCTTAGTTATTGCTTAGTTATTTTAGTTATATTTGCTTAGTTATTGTTCCTACATTTTATTAGTACAATACACTCTACAACTTCTACAACCGTCTTTCCCTAATTGGACTCAAGGCCTGTTCAATAGGAGGGAACTCATGCCTGGGACTGGAAACCTAACCAGTTACCCAGAGCTAATGAAGTCATGGATCTTGGAGGAGAACCTACAACTACCACTTTACTAAACCAGCATAACCCTGAGATACATTCCAAATACTTCTCATTATCCCCACAGATAAGTGCAGTCTTCAATCACCATCAAGGATACTTCTCTTTGTAAAAGTCAGGGACCATTAGGGGAAAACCACAACCAATCAATATATGCAGACCTGTGGAGTCTAGTTCCAAAGGATACATTTACAACATAACTCTTGAGTCTGAGGCTCAGTAATCATTGAGGAAGAAGGGGTGAAAGATTGTATCTTCTAGAAATATCAGAAGCTACATACATGAAATCTCATAACACGACTGCCTAAATGTTACTTGAAAAGGACAGGATGAAACCATCAGACATGCTACTGTGGAATGGAAAACTCAAGAGGACTTATCCTAGACAGTCTTCCTCAGGGAAGAGTGCAACACTTGGTTATCCAATTTTAAATCAGTCCCGAAGACATAAGCATACAAATGACATGATGCAGGCTGAGAAGGTTGCACTTACCTAGTTAGGAAAAGACAAACAGACATGAACATGCTTGCGTGCAAGCGTGTGCGCACACACATATTCTCATATGTAACAACAATTAAAGAAAAAGGCCACGAATATCAGAGAAAGAAAAGTAGGAGAGGCACATGGAGGATTTGGAAGAAGAAAAGGAAAGGGGAAAATGATATAATTATAAGGTCAAAACACAAGAAAACAAAAACCACCAAAATGAACACACACCACATACTCTGGCCTCAGAAAAGCCTGGGAACACACTGGAAAACGAGCCACAATTCACTAACTTTCTTACTAAGGGTGCTTTTTCCCCTGCATCACATACCATGCACTTCTGTCTGCAATCAGTGCAGCACCACCATCTACTCAGTTCCTAGGAATGGGAATCATCCAGGGCTCCTGGTTCCTCCCACAGGCCAGTGTCCTGTTCCTGCATTGCCAGCATTTCTCTTCTTCATTCCCAAAGTCATTCTTATCTACATGGCCCCAGACCAGCTCCCTATATCCTTCATGGCAAATGTCTCTAGCTCATTATTTTTTTTAATTAATTAATTAAAGATTCCTGTCTCTTTCTCTAGCTCATTATTAACTTTAATACTTTTACTTGACTACTTGAACACTGCCAATGACAGAAGCAAGCCTCTGAAGCTAATTCCCTTCTCTCTTTAAGCCACATCAGTATTACTTGTTGGCCTCTGTTTTCTGAAACTAATTTAGCTACTGATCCTTGTGCATATGAAGGACACATATCCCAAGGTGCTCCTTAAAAGTTCAGTCCAATGTCACCTCTGTCAAAGAGGGCATGTATCTCCTTGACCTTCCATCTTGCCCCTGCTTCCCTCACAGTCTCATGGGCAAGCAGAGGCCACAACCCTATCAGAGGATACCTGGGCCCCAACTCACCCTGCGGTTCCGGTTATGATCCATAGTCTTAAGATGCTTTTGGATGATTCCAAACTGCATGGGGATGAAGAGGTCACAGGCTGCACAATGGGCTGCCTCCACCTTCTTTACAAAATGCTCCAGAGCAATTTCTGTAGTGGGGCAGAAGAAAGCAGTCATCACTGGTCTCAAGTGCCAAAGACATCGGACTAGCTTCTTAACTTTCCCTGCCACTTCCATCCAAGCCTGAGACTCAGTAAACAGAGGATCATGTCACTGCATTGAGAAGCAGAGAAGGGCAGGCTGGGGGCCTACCTGGTGGCAGCCGTCCTGCTGGGATAAAACCTCCTCACCTTGGGTCAGATCTTGGTCTCTGTAGATTTGCTGGATCAGACCATCAAGGTCCTCCACAGTTTTTCGGAGCTCTTCTGTCTTCTTGGTCTTGTTGGTGACATATTCCTATTGGAGACACAGATGTTTGGGCCAGGCCCAGGGGTTCCAGAGACTGGAGAAACCAGCAGCAGATGTGCTGCTCAGAAGCTCACCTGAAGGAAGTCAGCTGTCTGCTTGGGAAGCTTGGTGCCTACATATTTGAAGTGTTCCTTGTGGAATTTGCTGTCAAGGTGGCTACCCATCTCATCCTCATAGAAGGTCCGGTATTTGCAGAGAGAACACACAAACTGGATCCTGCCACAGGAGGGAAACAAGCAGCTGAGGCTATAAGGATCCTAGGGAGTGTTACTGCTATTTTACCCAACCCAGCTGGAGGCCTTGAAAACAGGCCTCGAACTGAAGTGCAGTCCCATCAGAGGGGTAGGCTGGGACTGACAGGGTCAGGAACAGAAGGGGACAGTCTGCAGGCTGCAGTTACAGCAACGTAGGGATTAGGGGAAGAACTCTTTCTTCCCACAGGCAGGAGGTTGAACCCGAGGCAGCTGCTGCTGCAAACAGGCAAAGTCGCTGGAAAGTTGTCGGAGGGCCTCTCTAGCAAGGCTGGGCAGGAGCTTGTGCATTTGGCCCAGCTGGGGACCAGAAGGAAGGATGCCCTGGCGAGAGCCAGGAGGCCCTGAGGTGCAGAGTGGAGTACGCAGTCTCGAGGCAGTGCCTGAAAAAGTGCTGCATCTTCCTTCTGGGGTCGGGGGGACTCAAAGGCCCAGCCCATCCTCTGCTCAGAATGCCTGGGGGTGGTGTCAGGAGGGATGGTAGGCAGCAGGCCTGGGCACCTGCTGCCTCATCTTCCTCTTCCAAGAAGAGACCAGTCTGAGCTGGAAGGAGGGTGCCCGCCTGGCCTGCCAGAGGGCAGCCTGGAATCACTGGGCGAGGTGCTCTGTCTGGGCCTCGTGTCCACAGCAGAAGCCTGGGGTCTAGGGCCTGGGCTGGAACAGGCCTCCGTGGCAAGGGGCGGAGGAGGCCAGCCGCCACCGAGGCCTCGGGGCGGGTCCCTACCTCTGCCGGACGTCCTTATCTGGGCCACGGGGTCAGCTTTGTCTGAAGAGCCCAGGGGCCGGGCGCCGGCGAGGCTGAGTGGAAGGTCCAGCAAGAGCAAGAGTCTGAGGCGGAGGAGGCAAGCGCCAGTGCGGGAGCCCTGAGGGCAGACAGACCCGACCAAGGGACGTGAAGGGCTCAGCCACAGACAGGCCCGGCCTGATAGGGCCGGTGGGCAGGGCCAACAGCAGACCCAGAGGCTGCCATAGCCCACAGGTGCTGTCATCTCTCCTGGGCACGGCGGCGGCCTCTTGGCAGCTAGCTGGGGTGGCACAGGCGCCTTGGACCTTGAGTCTCTGATGAGTTGGCCCCCTCCCTCAGGGGCATCGGGCCCCCTGCGCACCTCAGGGCTTGTGCGCTGAGTGACCTAGCGCTGGAACTTCTGGGTAATGGTGCTGAGCAGTGCCAGGTCTCAGGCCATAGATGGCAGCGGTCGCCAGGTGGCCACAGAGGGGCAGGGGACGAGTCAGGACTTGGGAGCTGGGCCTGGCGGGAAGCAGGGTCCATGCACAGCAGAGCAGGTGGCGGCTCCCAAGGGAGGCCAGAGGGCGGCGAGATGGCAGAGCAATAGCCCTGCTCTCCTGGTGGCAGCCCCAGAGCCAGGCGGAGGCAGAGGGATGGAGGGAAGACAGTTAGTTACCTTTCCACCATACGGTCTCGCTGTCGCTTTTTCTGTTTGTCTTGGCTTTTCTTGCTTGCCTGCAACTTGCGCTTGGCCTGGCTGCTCTCATCCTGGGCGGTCAGGGCCCCTGTGGTAACAGAAAGACAGAATTACCAGCAGGACTCTTAACAGATTAGACCCTGTGACCTGTGGCTGATCACCCGCTGTCCACTCCAGAGGGTCCATCTGAGAGCAGCTGTATACATAAAGCCTCAGGCCATGAGCAAGGCTGGGTGCCCTGGGCTTAGCACGAAGTAGATTTGGCTTAGGCACCAGGAGAGGGGGAACATGTACTGACCCCTCCATTTTCCGGAACACCCTCACTCTCTGCAGAGTGGGTGCAGAGAAGCTGGAAGGCAAAGACAGGCTGTCTTGGTGGGAACACAGGCGTGTTCAGAGGGACTGGGTGGCGGGATGCAAGGAGGCCGTTCACATGGCCCTGCCCACCCCCCACCGGGCACCGCGGCAACAGTGGGCTGAGGCTGGATTTACTGTTAGGTACCTGCTGGCGCTCATCACTCAGATGGGGGGACACGGACTCCCAACAAGGGCTGGAGAGGCGCTAAGGGAGAGGACACGCAAACCAGAGCCGTAAAAACTGCACCAAGGGTCCCAGCTCGGACACCAGCCACTGAGGACTTGGAACTGTGTGTTACTGAGGGACCAAGGGGAGGGGATGTGCCTGGGGCTCCCCACACTTTTGCTTGCTGGCCCCACCTGAAGGCAAAACCAAAGTGCTAGGCTGGGGGCCATACCATCTATAACCTCCGCTTAGGAAAAACAGGCAGACTGGGAGGGCACAAAGTAAGAAGAGGTCCTTCCTACACATACCCAGTCCCATACGGTCCCCAGCCAGCCATATTTCTGCCACACCCTGCCCTCAGCTGGATCCCTCCCACTATCAGCACCTGGAAGAGCCTCCCCAGTACCTAAGCTCCCCTGGAAAACTCACCTTTCTCTGAATCTTCTTTGCCTTCTTCTCTCCCATCCTCTTTTCCCTCCTCGTCCTCTCCTTCCTAACATACAATTTTAAAATTCAACTTTTAAAAGGGCAGATACTTATACTGGCTCTAAAGGATTAAAGGTCAGAACTGGGAGCATCACCCCCCCTTCCCATCACCTGCTGCATAGAAGCCTGCATATCCCCATCTCTTCCAAGGAAACACATTGCTGGTGAAGTGCTCTGTACTCTCCCCCAGATACACAGCCTCCTTGTGCTGGCCACTCACCACCCATGCACACAGGCGATACCACATTGTCTGAGATCCTTGTAACAAAGCCTGTGCTTCTTCAAGCCAGTTCAGTCCTCCTAGGCCCTACCTGCAGAGACCAAGAGCCTGGGTCTAGGGTTACTTACTGCTCGGGAGCCTTTCTCCATAGCCTCAGCACTTTCAGTACCCTCTGCAGCTTCCCCCTCAGTGCCTTCATCTGCAAGGGGAGAATAGACAAGCTCAGTTGAGGAGTCCCTTGGGGGCAGGGAACAGGAAGCAGGACCCCAGGCTGAACAACTTACCATTCTCTGAGTCACTGTTGTCTGAGCAGTCTGTTCTGGTAGCTTTGCTGTCTGGCTCATCAGGACTGCCACCCTGCTTTCTCTTCTTCTTTTTGGTCTGGGTCAGAAAGAAGCAGCCAAGTTAGAGATAGTAGCTGTACCCCCAACAAGGATCAGGAGAGGTACACCAGCTTACTTACCCGGAAGTCGGCTGTGGTCCATGTCTTCCAGGTCCGCCTCATCTGCTTCATGCCATTGCCAAATCCGAAGCCAAATCGGGAGCCACCAGAGAAGGCACCCCCACCACGCATGCCCTGGAACATGCCATACTCGGGGATGATGTTCTGGGAGAAGAGGGAAGGCAGCCGGGAGGCACCAGGCATGCACTGGCCCCGGGCCCCCATGGGGTCTTCCCACATGCGCCCATAGCCCGAGGCCATTGGCCGTCCACTCCGGGCATCCCGGGCCCAGCCCTGAGCCCTTGGACCAAATGTATCTCCTCCACGCATTCGAAACTGGTCACGGTAGGCATCGTATTGGCCTTCATAGGCCATTTCCATCTCAGGATCAAGCTCGCCATAGTCATAGCCGGACCTGTAGAGGTCTCGTTCACTCAGGATGGCCCTTGAGTCACAGGCCTCATAGGAGTCATATCTGTGGAGACAGATGACAAGCATCAGGGAGAGCCCCTTGGAGTTCCTCAACTCCAACTGGCCTAGACTACTGCTCTTGCCACGTCCTGCTCAGTCATCCCCAATCTTAGTCCTATAACAGAAAAGGCTGTAAGACAGGCTTTCTGCTCAGAAAGGCCACAGAGTAGAACATCAGGGGCAGCAAGAGCTCTTCCAGTGAACCTGAACACAGCCATGCACTTGCCTGGGAACCCTAAGTAGTTCCCAGAGGGAAGGATAGCTCTTATTCAACTGAGGGACAAAGCTGCCTCCAGAGTTTTCCAAAAGTATTTAAACTATGGCAATTACAATGGTCAAAGCTGTTCCTTATGAGCAAAGTCAAGAACAAAGAATGTTTTTTTCAATACCTGTGACAACACTGGGCTAGTTTCATCTTTGATGGTTTGGAGTACCCTTAAATCCTGTAAAACTCTTACTACCTTGAACAAGCGAGAGGAAATGTGCAACATTTCTTGGGAGATATTATGAGCTTACCAAGGGGTCAGAAAAGGCTGGGTTTGTAGTCCAGCTGAAGAGCATTTGCCTAGCTTCAAGGCTGGGGTTTCTAGCCCCAGCACTGAAAACAGGCAAACACAAATCTCAACACAGCACCTAGTAAGGAGGCAGAACCACCTGCTGAGGACAGAGATGGCTTGCCTTCAACTATAGCCCATGCTTAGGCTCACTTCCCACATACCTCACAGAT